ACAATTATGCACAAACCCTAGGATTCTAAGCGTAAAATATGCACAAACCTAGGATGCTAAGCACAAAATATGCACAACCCCTAAGTTGCTAAGCACAAGCATGCAAAATCCTGGTGAAAAATACCTCAAACATTAAATTGAACAATGCCCAATATCAATCATTCAAACCACATATAAGAAAACTACATGGTAGGGTTTAGGTTTCACTACACCAAAGTGGGAGGAGGAAAACTCCATGGAAGAAGTGGGAAGAACAAAGGAGAAAAAGGTGGAAACCATATCTTGGGGATGCCTCCTCTCTTCTTCAACCTTGAGCTGGGATTTCCTTGGGAAAATCTTCCGAAAACCTCCTTTGAAGCCAAGCCATAACTCATTCTTCTCTTTTGGTTCTGTTTCTCTCACTAAAATGCAGAAGAAGTGTTTCTCTCACAAAAGTGGCTCTCCCCTTCTCTTCCTTGCAGCTCAGCTTTTAAACACGAGAAGAGCTGAGTTCACGACCGTGAACTCTCAAACGTGTCCGTGAAGCGCCAAAATGCTCCCCATCGATCACGGCAGTTCACGAGCAACTACTTGTGTTCACGATCTTAGTGACCGTGAAATCGCCTTGCGTCAGTAACCTTCAACTTGGCTCTGGACGCCTTGCGCTTCCCGGTCAACTCCACGTCTTCACGGTTTTGCACGACCGTGAACTCCTACTTTTAGCCGTGAACTTGCGTTTTTCACCTCTTCTCCCGGTTTTCAATCCTTTTTGCCAATCCTTCAACTCCGAGGCTGGTTCCACCTGTTAAATCCTGAAAAGCACTCAAACACGAAGACCCTCGCGTAAAACCAATATCTAATGAGCGAATTTGGCACAAACATCTAAGCAAATCGGGGGCAAAATATGTGCAATTAAGTTCGAATCACTCCCTCACACTTAGACGTTTGATTATCCCCAAGCAAATAATTTTACACACATGGTAATATTTCAACCTACACAAATGCTTTGGGGACAATTCAAAGGACACGAAGCGGGAATTCTCGATGTTTATTGACAATTAACACATGAACCGTTGAAAGCAATACCGACATCGACCACAAACGACATCCAAAGCCACCAAAATTGGCAAACGCAACCTGGCACACATATATCTCTCTCGTATTGGATTTGGCGGTGACAAAGGAAGAAGAAGCTGATTGGCAGTGACGAGGGTTCCTGTCTGCGGTGGCCGGTGCCAACGAAGTCGATTCCGAACCAGGTTGGAGCTCGAACCCTTCCAAATCGACGACGAGGAGGCGGAAGAAAGCTCGTATCGCTTCCATTTCCATCTGTTGCTTCATCTGTATCCCCCACACACACTCTCTCTCTCCATCTCCACGCTATCTCTCTCTCTCTCTCTCTCTTCAATTGGCTCGGCTACGTAGAGAGAAATCGACGAACAATTATCGGAAGAGTATGAATGCCGAGCTCGTTCCGAGAACTTGAATGACTACTCTCTTATTTTTTGGCTTGATTCCAACCCCTTCCAAATCGTCACTGCAAATCTAATTTCAATGCCTCCGTTTCTGGGTTTCTGGTTTTCGTTGGATTTGGTTTCATTGGATCTGCAGAGGCGACAAGGCTTCAACGAGAGCTGGGGAACCCGCCTTCCTCTGCTCCGCTGCTAAAGACGAAATCCCGAATCTGGTTAGGATGGAGGCAAATCGGATGGAGCTGGGGATGCTTGAATCTGGTTATGATGGCGACAAATTGGACGGATGCTGGAATTCCAGATCCTCATCGGCGCCTCTGTCTCTCAACCCTCTCTTTGATGGCGGTCGGAAGTTTAATACCCAGGTCGGGAGTTTTTTCAATTAGTTTACCCTTCCCCTTCTTTTTTTCTCCAAGTGGTCAGTCAAAATCGGGAATAAATATCCAGGTTTGCCCCTACAACAAATCCTTTATGGTTCCTGGAACTTTGAGTGAATCTCGTATCACCATTTTCACTCAAATATCTTGAGCAAAAGATTAAAATTTCTTAGCAAAGTTCCCTTTAGCTATGTTTGCTTTATAGCGATATCTATTATTCATAAAATCCTTCAAGACACCTTGATACCAAGGGGACCAGGAATAGAGCGGATTCGATAATTGACTAGGCCGGGCTTTGCATTTGCTGCTTGGACACAAAAAAGAATGATTTGGACAAGGGGTAGATAGAAGGATTGGGGTTCACGCTTGGAAATAAAAGACCCAACTCTTTCGTCTCTTTGTGGAGGAGTGCGGAAAAACGAAATTGCTTTGCGGGAGAAGGCTTTTGGACCAGGGACCGGAATTATTTGGACCGTAAAGAAAAGAAAGTTTGGTTGAGATTATTTTTCGGGATGGAGGATTGAAATTCCGTGGAGAGTGGAGCCTATTAATAGGCGGGAATCGGTCAGGGACGCGGACTTCCAGGGAGATGGAGAATTATTTTCTGGGCGAACCAAGAACAGCATCGCTGGAGAGGAGAAAATCTCATTCATTGGGAGCTGCCAGGGGAGAAGGAAATACCGAACATCGTTTGGGAACCTCCAAGTACTTTTGTTCCTTATCTTGCCATTAGCTTCAAGGATGATTAATACTTTATCGATTTATTTTAGTTTTATCCTGAACTAAAACCCAATTTTCTGTAGAAAACATCATGGGAGGTAGCTATATCTAGATTTGATAGATTGATTCATATTTCTTTTCTTGCAATCTTTATTGCATGGAATTGATTAATGTTTTGTGTTGACTGGCCACCAATACAACGATTTGTAGTTAATTAGGTTATTAGCGACAGTGAAACCCTAATAATCGAACCTATTTCATGTGACATAGTAACTTATCGAAGTGACAGTGAATTAAATAAGAATATATGAAAAGAATAGCAACTACTTAGTTAAGTCAGCCTACAGATTAGCAACAATAGTCCTTACCATTGTGCAAGAAGATTTCAACCAGGAAGAGGAATAGATTGAAACAGGCGGGGAAGTCGAGCATTATGACCCTATGAACTGAAAACGCCGATGGAAATTGGTAATTCCCCCAAAGACAAGATTTTTCTTTGGAAAATTATGCATAACATCTTACCAACGGGGAAAAACATTGAAGGGCGCAAGGAGGAGGCAGCAATGGAACACTCGTTCTGCCACCTAGAAGAGACACAAAATCACATATTTCGTGAATGCCAGTGGGTGATAAGGGTTTGGCGACCCTCTGATTTCATACCTCTATTTGAGTTAGAACCAAATCTCTCCATGGGAAGCTAGTTATGTGAAGTTATGGATAAAGTCGACAACGATACCCTAGGTGAATTGGGAATTATCTTGTGGATGATCTAGAATGAAAAGAATAACCAGATGTTCAATAACAAGAAGGCGGAGGAATGGGACATTGTGCCTAAGGGACTCGACTACTAGGAGAAATTTAATCAACTTCATTAGAAGGTGATAGAGGCGAAATCGGAAGAGGTACGTACCTGGACACGACTACCGGAAGGATGGATTAAAATTAATGTGGATGCAACAGTTCTTGACGGAGGAGGAACATGTTTGGGGCAGTCGCCAGAAACTGGCCGCGGAACTGGCAGAACCTGGCCTGGATGACAATTTGTGATGGCGGCGGTTCGCAAGGAGCGCCGGACCTGGCCCCCGGAACTGGCAGAACTCCGGGAGATCGAATTTGGTTTGCAATTGATGGAGGAGGAGGGTCTGGGTTCGGCAATAGTGGAGTCGGATTGCTTGAATGCCATCCTCAAGTTGTAGAAAATGGAGGTGTCTCGGTTGGAAGCAGGAGTACGAGTTCTAGAAATCCAAGAGAGGGCAACTCGGACAGGACCGGTCAAATGGAGGTTTGGGCGCAGAGAAGGGAACCAAGCGACCCACTTGACGACCCATCTATCTTGTAGTTGGAATTCTCAAGAAATATGGGTTGGTAGGCCACCCATTTGTTTACTTAACCTGTTGACTCATGAGGCTTTAACCCATTAATAAAATACAGGGATTTTCATAAAAAAAATTTAATTCATTGAGCTACGATAGTATGATTTGAATTGATTGTTTAGTAGGTAGTAATTCCCGACAGAGATAGGTAGCACAATAGTGATATTCTGGCTGTAGAGGTATGAATTGATTTGGATATAATAGATAGTGAGTCCCGGTGTTTCTCCAAGAGCTTTTTCCCATTAATTTCTCTCGATATTTTTTATTTGTTTAATTTGATTATTTTAGTTTGCTTTTAGAAATTAGTCTCACTAAACTATTTTCATTTATAGTTTTCTCCATAGAATTGATAGAAATTAAGGTTGTACCAGTCCCTGTGAGACGATACCCAAACTTCTGATTTACTACGAGATAGAAATTGAAGCAGTACGTTTTTGTCCTATCACCTTCACAACGCGAAAGAACTCGTCACAGGTTGAGAGTTGTGATGAACTCATATTCATAACCAGACTCTAATACCAAATGTTAGAAACTTGTTTTCTAGGGTTCCTAACATATGTGTTTGTGAGATTGGGAAGTGGTAGATAATTTCGGATTTAGAAGAATTGAGGATAGAATTAAAGATTTGAAGGAGAATTTGGGGAAGAATAGAAAGAACTGGTCGGCGCCCGTATTGGGAAGAGAAAGAATTTGAGAGAAAAGGGTTTACTGTTTAACGTTTCGAGAGAAATACTTTAATGCTACTTTTCTGATAGCTTCTTTGATTGAAATCTCAAGAAGCTCTAAAAATACCCATATATATATAATAAAAGATCCCAAAAGCTCCAAAAATACCCTAACCTTATTCGGCCACAACCGGCGTCCATTCCTCCTAAAACCAATAATTAAAATAATAATCCAAACATAAATCGTGTTTCTTACAAAAGTATTTAAAATATGAGAAATGCAATTAAAATTTTCTTATTAAATTCAAGTTAGTGATGAGATTGACAATCAAATTCTTTGCTTGTCGGATTGAAAGAAAGGGTCGGAATGATATCCTATGCAGACCAAGTGAAGAAAGAGATCTCAAACTGGTCCAAGATGAAATCCATTGATTAAGAATCATAAATAAACAACACAATCTACCCATATATATACTCGGAGAATTCTAGGAAGTAATAAGGAGGATTATTTACATTTAAAGTCTAAAACTACTAGAACATAAAAGGAAAAGCATTAAAGAAGAGAGACTGATCCAAGAAGACCTAGATCCATTCCTTCATCAACTGATCACAACGAAACTTAAACAATCTATGGTAACAACAACAGCAAGTAAAGAACAAACCAACAAAACAGAATCAATATAATGTTCTTGACCACTAATAACTTGTACTTCTAAGTGGCCATGCAACCAATCCCATACCTAGTGTTGGGAAACACCAAGAAGAGGCCGCTGCACACAACACCGACCATGAGCGGGAAACTCTCCATCACCTCATCCAGTTCCTTCACGTTCCCAGGGAACAAACAATCCGTCACCCTGTGATCCGACAGCGCGATCGCCATGAACACCATCACCGACATCATGGCGTGGACGAAATCCGTGAACCCTAGCCTGTACTTGTCATCCTTGGGCACCTCGATCCCGAGCCCGGGCTTGAACACGGCCAGCCCCTTGGGGGTGACGAAGCCGTAGTAGACCTTGCCGTCGGGGCCCTTGAAACTGTCGGTGAAGTGGAAGAAGAAGCAGGAGAGGGAGCAGAGCGCGAGGAGGAAGTAGATCATGAGGGTGGTGACGTGGGTGCACTCCCCGTTCTTGGAGACGGACGGCAGGAGCATCTCGAAGGTTAGGAGGGTGCCCGTGGGGAGGAAATTGACCAGCATGGAGGTCTTAGACATCGTGTTTTGCACTCCTTTCGCCATGGCTCTTCTCTTGCTCCCTGGCTTCTTCGGTGCTTGTGTTAGGCACAGCGACGCGGTGCATGATGTCGGCGGTGGGGGAGGCGGCGGCGGTGGTGGGGGAAAGGATGGTGAGGGAGAGGATTTGGAGCGGCCGGGGGCGGATTTCGGGGATGCTGATGCGGATGGCATGTAGATTTTGATTCCATAGTCGTCTCGCTCCATTGTGTTTGGTTTGGTTGGTTGGTTGCAGAGAAGAGAATTGTTGCCGGTGTTGGAGGCTGTAGTTTGTACTGCGATCTGGATCTTCTTATCCTATCCTACTGTAAAATATATAGAAAGCCTTTGAGAAATGCTTTTTCAACTGCTACAGTTAAATTCTGATGTAATTTATCTAATCAAACCTAAAAAAATCCTTGGTAACTGCCTACTACTACTCGGTTACCAAAAAACGTTAACACCCAATTCGCGTGAAACTTTGAAAAGTGCAAAAAAAAAAAAAAAAAACCCAATGTATCGTTTCGTTTGCCGACTACCCATATTCTATCTGTCGCTCTCCGTGGCCGGACCCATAATTGTCGGAGAGTTGTGTCGCCGATAAAATAAAATAAAAATTAAAAAATTTAATTAAATCGAAAATTTTCATAAAATGAAATAGAAATTACTAGAAATTAATTCACAAAGTTCATAATGTCATGTTTCCAACGAACCACGACGACTTTTCATGTCCTGAAATGTCAGTAAAATACATTCATCGCTTATGTTGCGAAACAAATCCTTTTTAATGTACGCAACTAAACAATCATTTATAAATTGGTCACTCAACCGATTTCGAAATTCATTCTTGATTATCTTCTTAGCTGAAAAAGTTTTTTCGCACCTTTCAACAAGTAAAGTCAACACCAACTTTAAGAGCAAGTAAACTAAAAGATAAAAGAAAAGGGGATGCGGCAATTGATCTCAGTAATTAGAAACTAAAAAAAAGGTGAAGATGAGTTTTTTTTATTATTTTCAACAAAAGAATGGTCAAGGGGTGGAAACGGTGAGTTTCAAAGGTCGGGGTTATTTATACTTTATACATTGTTGGGTTGTGGTGTGGGTTACTTTAAAACAAACATATTTATTTGATTTTACTTATTATTGTTTATTACTAATAATTAAGATAAAAAAAATTATAACAAGAAAACCATTCTCGTACAATGAAGGCGCACTCACAATTATTTGAGGTATGCCGCAAGTCCCAAATTAAAAAAATTTGTACAAAAAATATATAGGTCATTCACAAAATTTTCCAGCGAGGGTGTGTCGGACGACACACCCCGCCCCTTCTTAGGTCTGCCCCTGGTCACTCTCAAATCTCATTACGGACAAGAGCTCTTTGATCAGGGATCTGACGGTTATTAATTGTTTATGTTATGGTGGTTATGCAACTTTACATAATCAAATTTGAGCACTCTGAACACTTGGATCAGCATAATCATATTCTCTGAAGAGAACAACAAGATGTGCATCAACTAGAACGAGAAATTGATTGATCCTATCGTCCTTTCCCGAAGAGTCTGAAAAGGGGATTCATTATCTTCCTATCTCTTCGTTTTATGTATGAAGAGACTCTAACACCGTTCTCAGCTTTCACATTTGTTTTTCTCTGACGATCTTGTTTGGTTTGTAGAGGAAGATGGCAACCAAATAGAGATAATTAGTCGTTGCTTAGAGGATTTCTGCAGGAGTTCAGATTAGAAAGTCAATGTAAACAAATCAGTAGTGCTAGTATGTTCCAACATCGCTCGACCAAAGCCCATGTGCTTAGTACGTGTGCCAATCTCCCTCTAACGGCTAATCTTAGCAAGTACCTTGGCACTCATTATGTCATCAACAATAGTATTAATCAGACAGTCCAGATACAAGGAGCTTTCCCTAAAGATCCAAACAAAACTCGCGTCCTCAAAACTAGACACTTATCTCTTGCATCTCGAATGACCCTAGTGATATCTATTCCCTCATCAATGACTATATCTATCCAATGTTTACCGAGCTGATTCCTACTACTGTTTGCAATTCGATGGATTAATGCAACATGCACTTTATTTGGGGATAAAAAGATGGTAAGATAAAATTCCATCCCATTGCTTGGGAGCAGATGGTTCTCCCACGAGCCCAAGGTGGAGTTGGAATAGACCTACTTGAGCTGCTAATCAAGTGATCCTAGCTAAAGGGAGTTGGAAGCTGATCAATGATCACAAGACCTTTTAAGAATCCCGAGCTCGTGAAAGGTTAAGCTCTTTTTATCAAAGTCACGCAGTACCAATCTTTTTAGAATTTTTCTAAATTTTCTCTCAACAACTCGAAAAAAATGAAGGATAGGGAGGATTGTAGTGCCACCTCACACTTGGGAGGAGGTTCTATCAATGTAAGGATAGAAGCTCGACCACAATCAAGGGGAATACTCGATTGATACAGAGACAATACTCAACGCGATTGGACACGAACGGTGAGAGCAAAATTCACAAGCAAACGCTCCATGAACAAAAGGGTATTTTAAATTAATCAAAGTCTCAATAATCTGCATAAATTCTTGTCTTACAACTCTTTAAATAGGCCTGAAAAATAAAAATAATGAAAACACCAAAAAGGAAGAAGAATCCCGAACGAAAAAGGAAGTTTAACTCGTCAGGGCTAAAAACCCGATCTCAATCCCCGGTTGGTGATTTAAGTGCTCCAGTCAGAGGTCCTTCTAGGACAATTCCTCAGTCACTCCCTCACCTCACCTAGTCAGGGATCCTGCAATTTTGGACCGGGTCTTCAGCTTTGGGGGAAATCATATCAGTCCTTCCCCGTTGAAGAAGCTTTTCCCTCAAAGTTTTCCAGCTTGGCTTACAAACGAAATTCTCTAGAATCCTCCAACCAGGTTTCCAAACATAATTGCTTGCTCTAGAGGCAACCAAACTTGAAGATCATCGTCCAAAATCTCCATCCTTCACTTGACCCAAGCCACCGCAGTCTACCTTCTTGCATTCAAAGCTTAAAATTTGCAGACTCCTGCACGAGAATTCGTCATCACAAAAGTTGTAAAAAGAATAGAGATAATCCATTACCTTCTTTTCCACCACGTCCATCTCGTAGAATTCTCCATCTTCATTCTGTGGCTCTGGACAGTTGAAGTTGGTTTCTCTGTTCCAGATTTGCCTCCTCCTCCTCTTTCTCAGAACTCAAACTCTGTTGCACCGGAGAACTCGACCACGAACTCGATTCTTGTTCAACCATGGTTTGAAGCATAGGCCCTAGTTGAACCATCTGTGCTGCAAGCTGTTTCATGGTGTCTTCAAGATTTGGCTCCATAGTTTTCTCTTTGTTGTCTTTCTCTCCACTCTTTCATGCCGCTGAGTTTGAACCAGAAATCTTCAAATCACCGCTAAGTTTGGACGAGGCTCTAATACCACTTGATAAGAATCATGAGCCCGTAAAAGCTTATGCCATGTTCATTTTCCATCTTGTTTTCTGTTTTAGGTTGTGACTATGAGAATTAAGAAACAGATTCAAATAAATGTGTTCATTTGTTTTTTGTTTATGTATAATAAAATAAAATGGCACAAGTGGCAAAGCTGTGAGGAAACGATATATACTAGTTTCTTGAAAATAATAGGTTGGGCGGGATGGTTGTCATGCCAGTGGTATGTCGGCCGGTTGAACCAGGTCCAACCGGTGCCGGTCATGAAACCGGCTGGAATACCACCGGCACAACCCTCCAGTCAAAGTCGGTCAAAGCTGGTCAAAACCGGTCAAAACTGAGAATTCTGGTGGTTCAACCGGTATGAGAGATGCCGGCCAAATGACTAAAACTACGGCATTCTGTTTTTTATCCAAAAAAAAAAAAACGATGGCGTTTTGCTGGTAAACAATTGTGGGGTTTCACTTCACAGCCGAGCTCCAAATCGCGACCCATCCATTCTTCTCCACTTCGCCGCCCAGACGAGCTCCAAATCGCGATAGCCTCTGCCGCATTGAAGCTACTTCCGGCGCGGCCTCCTTCTCCTTCTGGCGTGGCCTCCTTCCGGTGCGTCTCGATTCCATAGCAACCGGTACGAGGTGACTCAACTCGACAACAACCCTTCTTCCTCCGACGCCTCGATTCGCCAGCAGAAAAACCTTCGGCGAGGCACGAAACAGCAGCCCTTCCTCCTCTGACGCCTCGATTTGCCACCTTCTTACTCAATTCACCTCCAGCCCTCGCCTCAGGTAACAACTCTGTTCTTAAATCTCCATTTTGTTGGTCAATTTTACAAACAAATTATTCCAATGCAGGCAGTAGAGACATCCATCTCAAGATGGTATTATTGATTTGATTGTGGCTAAGATCCAAGGCATATAATGAATAATTTGAGTAGTCGTTATGAGCATGTTCAATTTGGTAAAGTTCATGTTCAATTTTACAGATCAAAGCAGATGGACTCCGGCAATGCATCCAGTCAACCATCTGTGGCAAGTAGTAATGATGGTTCTTCTTCCACAGTTCGCTCAAAAGAAGATCCTACTTTGGAGTATGCCAAAGAAATCAGAACTGGAGAAGGGAAGTTGTGGAACAAGTGCAAACTGTGTACTCGTATTATAAAAGGTGGAGGAATTACGAGAGTGAAGCAACATTTAGCCGGAGAAAGGGGTCAAGTTGGTCCTTGTCCCCAAGTTAGCCATGATATTCGTGAGAGTTTCAAGGCTTTACTTAAGGCGACTACTAAATCAACGCCTATTGCAAGGGTTAATGTTGATGATTCTGAGGAGCAAGGTAGTACAGGTGTAGTACAAGGGAAAAGCGCTGCAATAACTCCCAATTTCTTTGCTCCAAGAACAAGCCCAGGAGCTCAACCTGGTATTCGGAGTGCTTTCACAGGAAAAGAGGCAAAGAAGCATACAGACCTCATGGTGGCTAAGTGGTTTGATCATGCAAAGCTTCCATTCAACGCTGCACACTCGGAATATTATCAGATATCATATGATGCAGTAGCTGCCGTAGGCCCTGGGTATAAGGTACCTTCTTATCACCAATTGAGAGTGCCTTTATTAAGAGATGTCAAAGAAGAATGCACGACAATTATACCTGATTATCGAAGGAGTTGGGAAAATACTGGATGCACTTTAATGGCTGATGGTTGGACTGATATGAGTCAAAGATCATTGATTAACTTCTTAGTCTATTGTCCAAAGGGTGTATGTTTCATCAAATTTGTGGATGCATCAGATATGGTTAAAGATGCAAAAAATTTGGCTGATTTTTTTGTTGATGTGATTAAATTGATTGGGCCTAAGAA